TATCTTTCAGTCTTCAAATAATCCATGTGATTATCACTTTCATTTTAGTAGTGTATTATTTTCGCGAATTTTAGATTCTCCCATGTTATAATCATGAGCCAACCAAAGCCCTAAGAGCGATCCGCTCGTTTATACGTCCTTTCAGACTGGAAAATGTCATTCCCTCCTTCGTTGTTTTGGCTTTTTTCAAGCGTGCAATTTGTGTCAGAAAACAATGGCAAGCCTGTTCAAAATTTGTTTGAAATTTCTCACACTCCTTTGCCTGCATCCCCTTCATGTGTTATGCAGAGAAACCTCACAAAGTTTACCGTTCTGCGACTACAACCAAACTAACCGGAGAGATTTAATCTTGGTTAACACTCTGGATGGCAAGATTACTGCACTAGACCCGGAAGATGATGGAGCCACTGTGTGGAAAATGTCAACCAGTCCAGGTCACATGTTGTCTTCAAGTATCCATCAGCTCAAATTGTACAATCACGGAAACCCTGTGGAGGTCATCCCATCGTTAAGTGGCAGTTTATACAAGTACAATGGGAAGAATGTCGAACCAATCCCTGTAGCTGTGAGTAGTTTGTTGAAATCATCTTATCAGTACACTGATCGCTATTCTGGAAGCGAGGAAAGTCGACAAATGGGAGTTGTCGCTGACACGGGTGAATTGCTGTACGAGTGCTCTGCAGACAGATGTGGGAACTACACTTACTCAGGTAACCAAACATTAGTCGACATACTCGAAATTCGTCGTTTCACTCAGACTGTGAGAGGGTTTAAGCCCCGCTCTGGCGAAGAAAGATGGAATTTCAGCGTTGCTCAAATTGACATCAAATTGTTGCCTGATCCATCAGGGACAACTCAATGCATTTTAGAGGATACTATCACTGAGAATTCAACCGATAATTTCCATTTCAAAGCTGTCGTCCCAGAAGGCATTGTCTGTGCTGTAAATAAGGTTAACTCTGAAGAACTTTTGTGGAAACATCAGTTTGATTCGCCAGTGGTCAGCATGTGGAGTTTGCGTAATGGCAAACTCGAGCGCATTGATTTATTTGAGGATTCCCTATCACTTTATTTAGGTACGTATAAAGAACAGTGGTACATCCAGGAAAGTTCATTACTCCAAGCAGCTGTGAAGGACACCCGTTATCAATCTCAAATTGTCTCGGTAGGTGCAGGTTATACAAAGATAACCCTGCAACCTGTTGCTCCTGACTCTCAATTAGTTGAGTTCAATTCAGTCCTGGGAATCAGCGACCAGTCCTCCTCCACAGCTTTGTCTGTTCTGTATGCTCCGGATATGCGTCTCAATAAGAGTGGATTTTATGCTTTCTCTCAGGAACTACCGAAAAGTAGCTCGAAATCATCAGACAATGTCAGTAACCTGGCAATCATCACAGAGGAATATTGTGATGAAGAGGAAGATGTGGAATTTTTGACAGAAGATGATCCAGTGGTCCAAATAATTATCGTTTCTATTTGGTACTGGTGGAAAGAAATAGCGCTCATCAGTTTGGCCACGGCAGTTGCCATAAACTTCATTATTAATTGGCAGTGCATGCACCGATTATTTTTCCGGTATTTACTCTCTGATTTTTCTTTTAGACCTCAAAATAATACAAGCATATTACCAATAATTCACAAGCAAGACTCAACTGCTCCTATTGAATCGCCACCAAAAACAATGAGTTTACCAGCTGAGCATTATGTTTCTCGTTATTTAACTGATTTTGACCCCATTCATTGTCTTGGTAAAGGTGGATTTGGAGTTGTTTTTGAAGCTAAAAACAAAATTGATGATTGTCACTATGCCATCAAACGCATACCATTACCAAATAAACAAGAATCTCGAGATCGGGTCATGCGTGAAGTGAAAGCTTTAGCCAAATTGGATCATCGTCACATTGTCCGCTATTTCAATGCATGGGTTGAATGCCCACCTGTAGGTTGGCAAGAGAGCCAAGATGAAGTTTTATGCAACAAAGAAAACTATTTGAAAACCTTTGGTGACGCTTTATCAATTGATATGGAAAGCAGTTATCCTCAACCAAAACCTAAAAAAAACAAGAAGAATCTGAAACAACGGAAAAAAAACAAAAAAGAGTGGTTACCAACAATTAGCAATAAGATTTATGATACTAGTAGTGAATCATCCTTGCGAGTAAGGAACGATAAAAGTGATTCGTTTATTGTTTTCGAGACCTCTGCAAAAGATGATTCCAGCTTTGACAAGAAGGAAAAAATTAAATCCAATCATTCATTGTCAATTGTAACAGAAGATGATACTGATGTAAAAAGACTGATTAGTAAGAAAAAAATTGAGGACTCAAATGTAAATATTGTAAATAAATCATCAAAAATTTTCTTGTACATACAAATGCAATTGTGCCGCAAAGAGTCGCTGCGAGAGTGGTTGCATGAAAATACTGAACCACGCAATCCGGAGGTGGTGCTCGACATATTCGAGCAGATAGTTCAAGCTGTCGAATATGTGCATTTAGAAGGACTAATTCATAGAGACCTAAAACCCTCCAACATTTTTTTCTCTCCGAATGGAGAAATAAAAATCGGAGACTTTGGCCTGGTGACAGCTATGGATGGAAGCTTTCCTGATGGACAAGCCAGCGGAGGGAACAGGTACTTTGATGAGAGACACACTGCCATGGTCGGGACTCAACTGTACATGAGTCCAGAGCAAGTTCATGGTAATCCTTATAACTACAAGGTTGATATCTATTCATTAGGTCTAATTCTCTTCGAACTTCTAATCCCTTTTTCTACTCAGATGGAACGATGGAAAGTAATGACAAATTTAAGGCGCAATGTTTTTCCTAAAGATTTTAGATCTAAATTCAAGAAAGAGTATAACATATTGAATTTAATGCTGTCTCATTCACCAGAAGAGCGTCCGACAACAATTGGTATTCGTGCATTGTATATAAATAAGCCGAAAGCTGAAGGATTCAAAAGTAATGAACCAGAAAACTGGTATTTTCAACTTCCTGCAAAGCGACGCACTCATTCCTTCAATCACAGCTCCTCCAATTCTGAAAATTCTGGTGCAGAACTAAATGAGTAAGTATCTTATGAATGATTCTAGTTTAAAAGGGACTAAATCTAATTTTATCTATCTGATAATCTTTACGCATGAAGTATGCAAGGTGAGAATCGTTTGCTTCATTTAGTCCCTCAAATTAGTGGACTTCTCAAAGTAATGTGCTCAATATCTGATGAGCGTAAGCGTAACTAGAAAAATGTTGTATCAGGAGGGGCAAAGGACTTTTTACTCTTTCCAGGATGTCAACCGGTGTACTGACCAGAACTAAAAATTTCAACTTCTCACTGGAATTTAAAAAAAAAAAGAAAAGAAAAAAAAATCAGTCTACTGTCAGTTTTCTACTTGGCCTCTAATGTTACAAATGAAAATTTTAAAAGTAGTTTCCTGTGAAGACTGTCATTGACAAAAATCTCCCGTAACCATTCCTCTGAATTCTCATTCTTGTATTCTTTTTTTGTCCAGATTTCCCAGTGATCCTGTTGTGACTTAATTTTTGAAGGAAGCTGCCTGCAAATGAAACTCTTCTCTAATTCATGGATTTTTTCTTTTTAATGCTGATGTCCACTTACATATCTATTTATAAGTAAGTTATCAGTATTTTCTCATTTCACATTGGCTTCCATTTGTATCTTGGTCGGTAATCAGGTGTCATGACTTCATGAGTATTGTAGGAAAGAAAGGATGGCTCAGAAAGTTTGGCATAATTTAAATGCAATTACTTTAGTAAATTGTCAGTATCTTAGCTATCAATGAAGATTTTTTTTATAAAATTGTTAGAAGTGTAAACTTCCCACAACACTTGATCCACCTCCCAGTAAAAAAAAATCAGGTATTTGAGTTTTGTTTGTTGAGAGGGCAGAGCGCTAAGACAAAGGAAGTGTAATATCTTCCAAGTACAATCTCAAGGTAGTTTTTTTGTTGTTGTAGATTAGTTGTTTTCAGGCTAAAATTTTTCTTGCAAGCAGTTTTTGTCCAAGACTTTTCAAGTACTTATCAGGTTTGAATGTAATTTGTGTGACTTTTCTCAAGTGGTGAGTTTTGAAAGTTCTGAATTTGTGGTTTAGTACCTTAACTCATAGAAAAAAGTCTCACCGCAGGTCTTGCACAGGTTTTTCTTTTTACTTTATTTGGTTTGGATTGACTCTGCTCTTCAAAGATTACGTCCTTTTTCTGTGATTGATGCACATGATTGATAGAAGCGTAAGAGCAGGCTGATCGTTGAAATCTGTACTTCACCCTTGTCTTGTTTTGTCTAATTAACAAGTGCACAATTTCAACAATTGCCTTGCAAGGCAAATTGTTAAAGCTGGAGTCATTGAATAAATTGGGGTAAATTCAAAATTTTTTGTAAATTTTGACACATATTGATGGCCAATTTGCAATACCTTGCATCTCTGTTTGCATTGCTGCAGATTCTATGTAGTTCTTCATTATATCTTTGGATGAGTGGTGAAAGTAATATCTTGAGAACATCCTTGATATTTCTTCTCTATTAGCAGATTATGAAGTATCATTTTCAAGTCAGAAAGTTGACTTGTTTCTCTTCAAAAAAATTTAATAGGAGCGGAAATTCTGAAACACCTCAATGGAGATAACATGGTTTAGCACTTTGGCCATGACAATGGTGGCTGCTCTGAGCCTACATACTTTCTTCAGTAAATTTTAGTGATGTATTTGTTTTGCTTTTTCCTCAGTTATGGGAGAACTTAGAAGGAGGAAAGGCACCTTTTCTGGCATCTTTCCATTGGCATGTTCTCCTAGCAGCTTCTGAAATGGATCAAGGACAGAGTTTTATCTTTATGGCTCTTCTTGAGCGAGACTTGGTAATTCCTCAAAATGTTCTCCAGTTAATCTAATTATGTTTTTGTGTCTCATCTCCTTGAATTATATTGAATTAAGCGTAATTAAATGCAGTATTAATTTGTAAATTTAGGAAATAGGACAAGATGAACTGTAAGAAAAATTCTTATGAGGATTAAAATCTGTTTGTATTGTTGCCGCAATGTTAACATGCAGGTGAATTTTTCATCCAACCAAGTGTGTTTTCAATTGAGTTAAGTGGATTGAATTGTGAAGTAAGAATAGTATTTATGATTGAAAACTATTTCATGTCTGCTGGAGGCTTTTGAACCCTTAAAATGATTCAGTCTTCTCGTACAATGTTGACTCTAAAAACCATGTCATAGTAATACTATTGTTGTGTTGTCAAAGGAGCATGATGCCCCTTCTGATTACCATTGTCAATACTTACATTACCCTACTTATCCTAGTCTCAAGAAAAAGCTTTAGACAATATGTAGCAACCCAGCAATGTTGAATGAACACTATATTTATTCAAAGTCCTTATTTTATAATGCTTCACCTTCATTTGAGTTACATAAGGTGAAGCTTGTTATTTTTACTCTGCGGATTCCCACTTTTTTGAGACATGATTGATTTTGAATTTTATTCATGTTATTTTAAAACAATTGGATTGACAGGGAGTGTGTTCTTCACTCAAGAGTGTATAATCAATTTTGAAAGTTAAAGAACTCACTAATCATGACAAAGGTATGGCAGATCAAAGCTGTGCTTTTTGATTGATGTTATTGATAAATGAATCTAGGTACTTTTACCTTGTGTATTCTTTACTATCAGTTTCTTTAACACTAAAATTTGAAATTGTTCTCTTTAAATTTTTTTCCTTTGGATCCGAATTTTTGAAGACAGTTAAAGTAAAACTCAAAAATCAAACCGCTTTTAATGCGTGAATTGAAATATAATGCCCTGTCTTGTCATTTTTGTTCTCAATATCTTATAATCAAGGCACATCATTGCAGCAAGCTTTATGATTCTAGTCCATGCTATGAAAAAAGAGCAGATGAAGGGTAGAGTGTAGTGAAAGGCTCGGCCTCTTATTAAAGGATTGTTTGGTTTTGGTGAGCTTGGGTCGTTTGAATAAGCCAAATGTACCTGCATTTCACATCTTAAACAATACCCTACGGCTGTCACCGACTGTGACTTAACCCTAATTTATCACTTTTCAAAGAGTGAACCATAATGCTTACTTACAATAATAATTAATGTAAGTATGGTAGTGAATGGATAAAATAAAAAAGGACTACATACATCTCATTAATGGGATAGTGGTGGTATGCAGGTTCATCAAGATTTCTGTGCTTAATTTGTTTTGTCCACTCTACAAAAGAATTACTTGTAAAACTAAACCNNNNATATCTACTCTTAATTATTGGCACTTGATCATACATCACATCTGTTGGGTTCCTTTCTAAATTGAAAATAAACTGTACTTAAGGTTAATGAAATGTGAGAACAATATTGTGTTATTAATAATATTTGCGGTCAAGCATTGCTGGTAAAACTTGGTGAAAACGGGACAATTCAAGTTCTTGAATAAGGATTTTGACAAAAGTGTTTCAGGATTAAATGAAAGTAGAAATAGTATTTGACTGTATTGGCTCTTATACATTCATTCAACAGATTTGGTAACATTTTAAGGCCTCACATTGTTTCCATAGAGCTCTGATTATTACTTTCATTGCTTCTTATGGAAATATTTCAGTGGGATTGAGAGTGTGCTTAGGTTTTGACAACTCGCCCTTAGGAAAGCTGTCCATCAATTATAAGATGCTCCCAGGGCAATGTAAAAGCGCAATTTTCGAATTAGGTGTCATTTAAGTGCTCAAGCAAAAAGGTAATCATTTTTAATAAGATTGAACCTCTGAGTCTTCGGTAATTTTGTAAGAGAAAACGATCAAAATTTTTGGAGAAGGTTCTTCTGTGAAAATTTTGATCACTTCTTCACTATTTTTATGATTCACTCAATCTTAGTTCACATTCATTTCCTAGTTTTGCAGCACCCAAACAAAAATTTCAGTATATTTAGAATCAAAGATAATGGAAAAATCATTATTTTCAGCAAGGTTCAAGAACTATTTACTAGGTACTGGTACTGTTTCAATTTTGGGTTCAAAATATTGAAAAATAAGAGCTTTAAGTCAAATTCGTGCCAACCAACATACATCTTCAAATTTTAATCAACTGTTGTGGCGTTTGACAAAATACCTTTTTAGACTTTTGATCCTTGCTCAGAAATTGCTTACTATTTGTGTATGATTGAGTTGCTTGCTTGAATTGCTTTAACAGAAGGGTTTGTAAAAAAAAGGATGACCATGTAAAAGTTTCAAGCCATAGTATGAATCTCCTAACAGTTTTTGCAGAAATGTAAAATTGCAATCAAGATAGATTTCTACTTTAGCTATCCATTACAAAAGCCCATAAAATATCCTATAATTGCATTTGACCTTTAACATGGTTGAACGTTAGAATTTACTGCACTTGTATATACCAACCAATTACTTATTTTTGAATGTTCATTTTATTTACCTGTGATAAAGTTTAAAGCTGTGATATGTTTAAAAATTGAATAACTTATCTCTACCAGATAGACAAAGCCTCAGAGTCTTTGTAGCTGCCTGGAGAGAGAGAATCATTGTTCCCTGTAAAAATATCTCTTAATTTTCAATAAAGCTATTATTATTATAGAAATTTTTTTTTTTTTATTTTCTTATCTGGAAGCAAAATTAGGTTCAACATACCTGCAGTAAGTATCTTAGCGAGGAATGAGTGGATCTGTTTTAACCTGATTTAAAGGAGGGGGTGGGGGTGTTACTAAATAATACAATTTATGTTAGTTTGTCAAGAAGTGCATTTTCTTTTAAGATGGTAGCTTTTTTTTTTGGTTTAAAAAAGCCCAATTTCCTAAAATTCTAGGGGAAAATGAAGAAGAAAAAAATATTTTAATGACCCATTTATGAATGAGTTGCAAGCGTAATGTTGTACCAGAGGAAGAAATCTGTTGTTCTAATTTTTTATACCTACAAAACAGAGCTGTAAAGAAAATTAGAGACATCATAGGTAGTTGAAGAATAATAATTTTATTGAACAAAATAATGTAAAAATAATTTCACAAAATATGGAGTTCTCACAGAAGTGATTGGTATTTTAGCAAGCATTGCCATCAAAAAGAGAAACATATTCTTCTAACGCTGACAAAGTGAAGATATTGTTATGATTGCAGGCTGCCGATTAGGCGAGACAATCTCTTACCAATCATTGCAAGACATCAGCTTATATGTATACATGAGCACATTGGCAAAATCACACAAATTACTTAGAGTAAATGAAAAGTTGTGATTAATTCTTCCAGCAAACGATTCAAATCAAAGTGTTTTCGTCCTTTCATTCTCAAACGTTGAGAAAATCGATAATTGGAGGATCTACCTTCTACTGCCAATCATTAGTTGAGTAGATTTCTGAAAAAATGTATTAAAATTCTCAGAAATTGCTGTCCCTCCTGCCAGGACTATTAAAGAACTTTCGTTTTAAGGCAGAATTACGTCCATACATAAGTACTTCTAGTTTTTCCTTCATTCTGACTTAATAATAATATCATGGGGGCAAAAAAGGAAAAACCATCGTAGAAACCTGAAAGTATGAAAGTATACAACTCCCATCAGTCTTCTGGTTACTCTTGAGAATCAACACTAATATGACTCCTCATGGGTTAGGTTTTCATTAAACAATCCCAAAACCCAAGTTTCACAAAGTTCCGATGAAAAATTCTTGACGGGGATTATCATTGCCTTTAATTGACTTTGCAATGATGGTCTGAAGTTTAAAACTTAAGAAATTGATGAATCACGCCCATGAGTTCTATAAATCAAATCCCTACTTCATTGAAATGAATGATGGACGGATCACAATTGATGTTTTTTAAAGATTTTGTACTATTCAAACGTATTTCTGCATCTTGAAAACAGGAGCGAAGCGTAATGGCATACGTTCCCCAAAGAGTCGAGAAAATATTTGAAATAATTTGCCACCTGACTAAGTGAAATGTATACCATTAGAATTGAATGCAAGAAGTAATCTGAAAAAAAAAAAAAAAAAAAAAAAAAAAAAAAAAAAAAATAAGCATTTTAGAGTAATACAAAATAATATTGCGAGATAATAAAGTTTAAAACTGTTGAACAAATGAGTTCTATGATTCCTTTAAAATGAACTTAAAAGCCTGAACACCAGTTAAGTAAAATACCAGGAGGGAAAACCTTTCATTTTGAAAGGACCCAAAATCCAAAACTGAAAAGATGAGGACATTTGTAAGTATTTTACTACAGATGTTACATATCTTCAAGTTTACCAAATTTTCAGATGGGAAACTCATATACGGGGTGATCCAGGGTTATACCGCCAGACTGCAGGAGCCAACAACCCCAAAACCTCCTCTTTAAATTGAGATATCAATTTTTTTATTTTTTTTATTTATGAATTCAGGCCATAAAATTAAAGACGAGTACAAATTTCCATTAGATTTGGTTCACAACCGTTGCCAAAATTCAGGAAAAACGATTGACTTTCCGAAATTTTGAGGGGCCTAGCTCCGACTGGGGACACTTTTGGAAAAAACTTTAATCAACAAAGAAGTCTAATTTTGACCTGTAGGACATTCTCCTGAAGTCTAGCCGTTTGATTCTGGGTCACCCTGTATACCTGTACCCCGCCTCTGGACCTCTTTGTCCCGCATAAAGATATTGGAAGAAATCTGAGCCAGAGGGGTTGAATAGCACTGCAATTTTGCTAGGGTCCATCTAACACAATCCTCAGCAAGTGTATTGCTTGTATCAAAAATTTTAAGGAGTTCTTGAGGAAATAATAGAGAAAATTCATGACAAAATTTCAAGAAAATCTGAAGCCATTCTAGAGTAATTATATCTATTGCCTGAAAAAAATGTTAACTGTTGCAATAATATTATATACCTTAGCGCTGACCTCTTGGATATCGACGGTGTAAGTCGGCAATCACATAACTCGTTTACGGTGTCTGAAAATCTCCGCCTCTATGTTATTTTTTTAAAGGAGAACAAATTGACATCTTTCCCTGAAGTTTATGCAGAATTGAATTTTCTTCGCACAGAGAAGAAAAATCACGGCAGTCTTAAAGAATTGCCATTGAGTAGTTTTCCGTTTAAAAAATGTAGTATGGCAGGAAGTCTACGACATCGCAAACCGAGTTATGTGATTGCCAACTTACACAGTCGATATGCTTTTTATTTTGAAATGTTGGTGCTGATACCCTTACAGCAAATATGTTTCAACATATGCGTTTTTTTGTGTAAACTTGAATTTCAGAAAAATAATAATACAAGAATTACCTACTAGAAATTACCGATATTAACATTTTAACCTATATTTCTGATATTTCATGAAAGCAAAAATAGGGGCGGAAACTCACCCTAGAAAATCATCAATATCCATAGATCTGGCACGTTTCTCTGCAAAGTTTGATTCCGCTAAAATTTTATCTACTTTCTGTTTCATGTCTAAGTCAGATGGGATATCCTAGAAAGAAAATCAGTTTTCATTAAAATTTGATGTATTCTGCATAGGACTGCTCGTCAAAAATTCAATACTTGGCTTTCAATTCTTAAAGATCTTTTAATAACAAATGGGGAAAAAAACTTTGAAGACTCTCACATTATGATTATGAATTATAATTAAGATGGAAAAATGAATCTATAAAACCTTTTTACATTGATCTTCAGATAATCAATCAAATGAATGCTAATGGGAAGTACCGGATATGGATTCATCAAATGACTCTTTTAATGCGTTAAATAATAATGTGATCGGAGGGAGGAATGTTAAAGGAATAGCCTTCCTTTTTTCTTAGAAACAATATTTGGAAAGAGACGAATAAATTAAAAACCGGTTTTTCAAAAATGTCCGAAATTAGTTTGACGAGTTGATACTTTTTGCAATTTATTGGCGACGTAAAAATTTGTATTAATTAGTTGATGGTTCGTTTTTCACCCATGAGGGAATACTTTGTCAGAAACAAGATACAATGGGGCTACTTAGAGAATGAATTCAAAAAACCACTTACCAAATTCTTCAATGAAGCTTGTATCCTAAAGTTTTTTTCTAGAGTTGTTAACACAGCTGTCTGCTTGAATGCGGCAGCAATGGTTTTGTTTTTCCTCAAAAACGCTATTCTGGTTAAACCATCCCACTCATGATAGTTGATTGGTGGTGGCGGATTCCTGGGCTCTATCCTAACTACACTAGATTCTACTTTTGGAGGTGGCTTAAAATTATTTTTTCCAACCTGGGAACAAAAAAAAAATAAACATCACCTTAAATTTCTAAGAGATTTTAACTTCCGACCTGGCCATTACTTAAGATATATTTGTCTACCCTGAAACAAGTTCAAGCATGACCATAATTCATGCTATAATCAGGAATACAGAGAGTCGTTAGCCTTCCCACTTAAAAACTCTTTTTTCATAATGAAATTGAAAGATCATCATTTCAGAATTTTCAGCATCCCCGTAGAAATTAAAAAACTTCTTTACACAGAAATCACCACCTGAAGATGATATAGAAAATCCGACTCTCAAGTCTTAACAACTCAATGACAACCTTTTGAGATGAAACGTGATGTGACTAGGTGTATTCATCAAAGATATTACTTGATGAAGTTTACTTACTTTCATTACGAGATCAACTCTGGCGAGAAGTTGCGTGTTGACGGATAGACGACAATAAACTTTGTCTCCAGGTTTGGCAACAAGTCGTTGAGCAAATTCTCGTTGAAACATCAAAATTGCACATCGGAAAAAAGGTCGATGTAGTAAAAGCTTGAAGACTAACGGGGATGATATTTGGTACGGAATATTCGCAACACAGACATTGAAGAAGGGAAGATCTTTCTTGATAACATCTCCTATGATGATTTCAAGTTTTGCTTGATATGGAGTTCCTTGCACTCGCTTCTGTAATTCAGCAACCAGTCTGAAGTAAAAAATAAAGTGGAACCATCATTTTGTATGTCAACACACATTTATGATTATACTGTTTACAGTCGGTCGCTGGTAAAAATTCATTTCAGTATCTGATGTTTCATAGTTTTTGCCTAATATTTAAAATTTTAATACTCAAATAAAATGTCATAAATTTTTATTTCAAAAACTGAATTACTTGCTAACGTTGGAAAAATTGGAGGCAGATATAGAAAATGAGTAAATCTAAGTACATTCAGTACAAGATATGCAGATTCTTAAACATAATTTTTAGATGTTGGCAATTGCGAAAACAAACCAAACTCGGTAAATTTGAATACTTTACTCCACACCAATGAAAGAGAGGCACAAGCACTGATAGAGTTCTTGTTGATATATTGAGCTTCCTTCTGAAGTTGTTGACCAAAAAACAAGGCTAAGCATCTATCCTATTCTCTGAGATACAGGAAAAATGAATGTGTACTTAACAATTCTTTTCACTTCCTTGTAGTCAAAGAGATGGGAATTTCTTCCTAGGGCACAATTACTGTTTGAAAAGTGAGGAGTTTCAAAAGATGATTTCCTCGCCATAAGATTTGTCAGAAATGTAATAAAATGAGTAAATTTAGACACCTGCACAAGAACAGAGAACCTCTTACCGAGTATCAATTTCACAGGCGATAACTTTCTTCGCCTTTTCCAATAATCTCACTGTCATGTTGCCTGTACCAGGTCCAATTTCCAACACCGTGTCCGTGGGTCGCAGAGCTGTTTTATCTATCATTCCCTGAATCACGAGAGGATTCTTGAGGATGTGTTGACCAAATTCTTTGTTGAAGAGGATCCCTGAGAAAGACAGAAAAAGCGAATTGTTTATAAGAAAGGACGACACGGCAATGAGACATACAGGCTGAGTACTTGGCTCGTTGTATTCTCCTTGCCCAGAACTTGCAGAAAATTTGTAATCACCATGAAGAATTACCTTGTTCAAGAGATGATTTTGACTGATGGCATGGAAAAGTCTTGGAGATATTGTGTACGTCAATGGCTAAAGTGCAAGATCAAGTATCGCCAATTGCGACTTGGTAGACTTCCAGTTGTGCCTTACTTTTTCCTTGGAAAACTTTTCGACATAATTTCTTAAAAACATCCTGAATTTCCCTTCTTGGTTTGTAGAATATTCTGTGTGAATTCAAGCTATAAAGTTGACTTGTTCCTCTACAAAAAAGAAAACTAGGAGCAGAGATTTTGAAACACCGCAATAAAGATACTTGGTGTCGCACTTTGGCCATCAATATGTGGGTTAGAAAAGAGGAGAAAAATTACTTCTTGTAAATGGGCGAATTCCTGGTTACCTTGCCTCACAACAGCAGCATGCTGACGGCTTTTCTTCTCCGTCTTGATTTTTGGCATCGTTATTCTTGATCCACAACTTGAAACTCGGGTTCATAAATAAATACGAGGTCAGGCGGAAATCTGAGAGATAATTATGAACATTTCATAATGTCACCAGTTATGGAGCATTTCAGAAGCAGGAATATTAAGACGAATGGTAGAGAATAATGAAAATAACAGACTGAGAATAATTTTCAGAGAAAAACTTGGAAAAGCATGCACAAATTCATGCACATGCACGTGAGAAAATCATCAAACATAACCTACAAAGAAAAGAAAACAACTTGGATGGTGGCTCTCTCTGCCGGAGATCTTTGTGTTGAAGTACTCTTGAGAGCAAAAATGCCGCGATAATTTAAAATACGGCTGCAATAGGTAAATTGATGCAGCATTTCTCCGTGGTTTTATATGTGATATGTGTGACCTATTTGGCGATGAATTTGTCATAGTTGGCATAATCACAGCTTCGTGACAAAAATCTCGTGAAATATTTCATAAAGTTTCAATTTTTCCCATCTTCCGGTCAACGAAAGCTCCACCAATCGCGTACTAGTGTACTAACCGCGCTCGACGCTGATTGGCCGTTGCACTTAACGAACGGCACGTGGCGGGAAATTACCGCGAGCAATGGACCACTAGACAAGGTACGAATTTAAGCAATCTGATACATGTTTCTTCACCAGAATTTCACGTAGAACACGATTCACACTACGAAAATTACCGAAATCAACTTCTAACGAAGATATTAACGTTTTTATTTCGCACTGATTACGAGGAATTCGAACTGTCCGCACACAAGAAACTCAAAGCTCTACGTGAGTCAAATCGCGCACTACAACGGTTTCAGCAAGCTTCTCAATCGAGCAATGTTCATTTTCCACCATGTGTTGTTCAAACTATTGGTAATTTGCTATAGCTGAGCCAAAGTGTCAAAATTGAAGTTGAAGATTTTTACATCGCAGAGACTGTCATGATAAACATTTAGCGCGCGATGTGAATCACGTAGAGCATTGAGTTTTCATGAGCGGGTAGTTTCAATTCACGCATCAGGAATCATTGAATATCTTCGCCAGGAGTTGATTTTGGTAATTTTCGTTGTGCGTATCGTGTTCTACGTGAAATTTTGGTTGAGAAACATGTATCAGAATGCTGAAATTCGTACCTTGTCTAGTGGTCCATTAAGGGAATTAAGGCAGAATTTTTTCGCACTCTAAGATGCGAGTTGTGAGACCTCTCCTGAGATGAATTGTTCCTAATTTGCATAAAGGCTGCTTTTTGTCAAGTGAACCTTATGAGAATTCGTGAAATATTTCATAAAATGTCAATAAGCAAATTTCCGCGACTGGATTTGGTTAACTTTTTGGAACCAATCATTTCGGAGGTAAGGAGGATGGGGAGGGAGGGGGTTGACGAGCCAAAAAAATGAATCTCACCGGAAGGGCTCTGCAGGACACGACCAGCCCTAATAGGAGAATTTCAGAGAACTCCCCCAGCGACAAAAGGGTATCCGGAGTTAGGTTTTCAAAATTTTGGTCGTTTCAATTCAATTTTGAGTTTTTCTTACAGAAAATTTTAGTTACTTGAATAAAATGTCTAAGATTAAAAATATATCATGCGCGTATTTGGCACAGTCCTTCGTATAATATGGAGGGACCAGGTAGATTTCCAAGAGGCTATACCTCCGCCCCGGCGGCGGTCGGCATGTAACACATATTAGCGCCTACAAGACTCCATGAATACTTCACGCATTGCGTCAAACACAGTGCGGTCACTGCAGTCAGCGTGAAACGGATAGCGCCTACAAGAGTGCATGGATACTTCACGCATTGCGCCAAAGACAGTGCGGTCAGCGTGAAACGCTTAGCGCCTACAAGAGTGCATGAATACTTCGTGCATCGCGCCAAAGACAGTGCAGTCTGCGAGGCGGCGGAAGTTAAAATCATTAAACTACATTTATGTTTGTTCTTTCATAATTTTCTCGTTCATTTCTTATGAATGGAAGGCCTTGTCCACACAGAGATAGGTTTACGGAACTTAACTTTCGCGCAAAGTTTCGTGAACTTTTGCTAGTAGTGTTGACAGGGCTTTCCCAAAAAATGTGTCCAACACAAGTAAACGCGTCTTCTGCATCCTTCCTCCGCTGGCACGTTCACTTAATGGTTTTTATTGATGTTTCAAAATTAATGAGAAGGGGGCGGCAAAATACAGGCGGCCCATGGGCGGCAAGTAGGTAAATCCTGCCCTGGTCACCTCAGGAAAAATTCAAACTCGCATCTCAACATATTTGTATATTTTGCTGAAAAGTTGGGAAAAAGTCCGGTCAGAAATATGAATCAGCCTAAGGTTCGGTCGAAACCGCGCCAAGTAACGAACAGTAGACGCGATACGTGACAGTGGCGTGGCGTGCTTTGCGATATATCAGTTGTTATGCCATTTAAACCTATGGCAAAGGATCGATAAACAGGGTGTTCGCAGCGAACACCATAATAATCGATTCTTTACCATAGGTTTAAATGGCAGATCAATCGATTTATCGAAAAGCACGCCACGCCACTGGTGAAACGTGAACGTCACCTTCCTCATTCCCTTAATAAATCGAGGAATTTCAAAGGCTCAAATCTGATTGAATTTTGCAAATCATCAAGCGCATTGGTACACTTTAAAAAAAATATTCACGTGGATCGGCGGCAAAAATATCTAGGTTTCAGTGGTACAAGGAATATCGCTTCTTTATTAAATATATAGAAGACGGTCCATTTGAAGATGGATTTAAATATCACTGTATGTACAGGCAACATGTCTCCAGCAGAGCGCAAATAAGACGATTATTTATCTCATTCTTTAAACTTACGATCAGACCAAACCATACTAGACAACGCATACACCTATTGGCAGATATGTCGCGTCGCTCACTCAAAAAGCGCCTTCAATTATACCGCATAGGCAACAAACCTACCCGGAAGCGCGAATAGTTATCTTCTTTAAAAAAACACACACATATTTCCCCTGGTAAAAATTGGCGATAAGAGCTGCGTTTCAAAATACCGTAGGAATTCTTATAGCCGGCTAAAGAAGGCTACAGAAAATCATATAGCTGGCTGTAGAATGCGGAGAAAATCATACGGCCGGGCTATACGAAGCGATAAAAAATTATGCAGCCGGGCCATAGTTCCTATCGTCGGGCTTTACACTCTATCGCCTGGCTGTTGCTTTTTCGCCATCGATTATAAAAGGCTATAAGAAACTGCGTAGAAATTCGTGTGCTTTGGAAATCATTAAGTCTGATACGGAACCACCTTAATATTCACAAAACACACGTTATATTTTCCTTCAATACGTATTTTTTTTTTTTATCAATTAAAACGAGAATAATCCATACAGGATGTGCAAACATTTCAAAATCATGAGTTGAATAACGCTGACTCCGCCAGATCGAATATTAGAGCCTAACACAAAGCGGAGCGGAGACGCACTGGCGCCTACAAACCTAACAGGGATACTTCACGCATTGCGCAACGCGTGAAGTATCCCTGTTAGGTTTGTAGGCGCCAATGCGCGTCATCGCGCTGACTGCCCGCCTGCCGCACCGCAGCTTGCCACGGCGCTTGAAGCAACTATTTCACACCAGAAGTATTGCACAGTATCATACGAAACTGAAGGAGCTCTAATATATTAGGAATGGCAGGCATCCATCAAAACGGAGCTTTCCTCGCAAAATAAATCAAGATACTACGGCCCAAAAAGAGAGCAGTGGTCCAAAAACTCACTAAGTCCTAGCATCCGTAATTAGTGACGTTTAGCATACACTTTATCACCTGGCTAGGAGTTGCTTAATCGCCATCGGCTATAAAAGGCTATGAGAAGTTGTGTAGCCGGCTGTAGAAGCTATTGGAAATCTTACAGCCGGCCGTAGGTCTATGGTATTTTGGAACACAGATTCTACCGCAATTTTTACCAGGGTCGCTCCGTTAACATAAAAAAAGCCATTAGAGAATGCGTACCTAAGCTTACTAGCAGATATTATCAACTTAAATAAGTTCTCGGTCAATTTGCCGCACAGGCAAGCAACATACCGGCGGGGAGCGCAAATAGTTATCTATTCGGAAAACGCAAATTATCTTTAACCAATATTTGCTCACTTTTTATGCCATTTTTAGATTTGTTGGTGAAGGTTTGCTTTACTTTAGAGATTCTCGGCTGAGGAGAGTTCGGTGCGGGCATTTACTCTCCGTTTGCGAAAAAAAAACCGCATTACCTCGCCCCGTAAACTTCGATAAAGCTTTTGGTGCATACTGTCAACTTGAAGTTCGCCTTCAATTCTACCGCATAGGCAACCGTATGTGAACATACCGAAGAGCGCGAATAGTTATCTCCTGGAGATGTACCCATATTATCTTCCTTTTTTTTTGTGAGATAAGAGAAATTTCACGATCCTAGCAGTATGTTGCATTGCTATTGGTCTCAAATAGTAGAATCTGGTCGTGACCAAACCTTATTAGAAAATTAATTCATAATAGAATGGAGAATTTGCAGATGTCTAAAATTTTGTAAATTTCATGTTTGAAAGCAGGAAACTGCCGAGAGAACTGAGCACGAGGATATCCTTGATTTCTTAATTAAACAATTAATCGTGCAAGAACGACTAAATAACCTAATCTTCTAAAACATACGTGTTAAATTGATAATGCCGCCAGATGACGTCACGAGACGGCACATTTTCTCATATTTAAATCTACTATTTACCTACAAAATCCCATCTCAGAAAAAAAATATGAAAAACACTGCGAAATCAACTCCCTAAGAACTCTCAGACGAAGCAATAAATTTTTTACGTGGAAATTCTCCATTGAGACGCAATGTCGACGGTGAAACTACCAAACCACGTATCTCGGTTTGCGACGTCGCAGACTTCCTGTCATACTTTATTTTTTGAATGAAAAACTACTTAACGTCCAGTCTTGAAAATTTCTGTAATTTTTCCTCTTCGTGCGGAGAAAATTCTGTGAAAATTTCAAGGAATGATATTGATTTGGTCTACCTCAAAAAAATAAAATGCGAGCGTAGATTTTTAAACACCGCAAACGAGATACGTGGTTTGGTAGTTTCACCGTCGATGTGCAGCTTCCTGCATGGAAAATTAGTTGGGGTGAAGGTTGCGATGAACGTACGTCCCTTGCGCTCCTAACGAAGAGGCATAATTTTGGAAGTTCCGGAAGTGGGTTCAGTGATCGGGCCGAGGAATGCCTGAAGGATGCCGTGGGGTCGGGAGAAAAAAGTAGAGTCTCGAGCCGAGCCGGTCAAATTCGATGGCGGCTCCTCCGCTGAATGGCTCATTGTGAGCCAGAGCCGAACGTGGCATCGGCATGGGGAAGAGGCAGAGGCGAGACCGCAAGAGCAGGAGCCAGGAGCGTTCGTCGAGGAGGGTTGGACGGTGAGCAAGGTTCTTGGTAAACAGGTGGGGGAAGGTCCTGGCTCTTGGTCTCGGTCGAGTCTCCCGGTTCGTGCCACGGGCCAGACAAGGACGGACGGATCGCGCCGCCACGGGCCAGACAAGGACAGACAGCTCGCCACCGAGCCACACAGCTAGGCCTCGGCTTCCAGCTCGCTAGTCGCTAGTCTGTCCGCCTGGCTCTGCCGAGAAACTTGTGACGCTGCGCGAGTGAAGTGTTAATGGTGTGTGTGCCCCGATTGGATATCGCCTCGCAGCTTTCATGGAAAGGCACGGGACGTCCCTGCACTCGTCCCGCATGAAAAAGGAGACCCGCACTTTTGTCAGCCGGAGAATGTAGCCCTTCCACTCCGCTGAAATGATCGGTGAGTGGCGCCCCCTTCCTCCTGTGTTTACCTTTACATCCGGTCGCCGCCCCTAACCTCTCGTCGACAGCAACAGCCCGCGGGTGAAAAAAGGGACGAAACTGAATTTGTTGCTTTTACCCGTTCGTGTTCGAGCACGGAGCTGTTGAATCCTCTTGACTGCCTTTGCACTCGAGTGCGCTCACTATCAGCTGGATTGACGGACAAGTGAAGGGCGCCACGGATGCTGTGATCTTGACCTTTCAGATCCCAAAACCACTTGGCCCCTGCTGATTGAGGGGCGCAGTTTTAAGGCATCTTTGTGGACCGAAATGTTGCCTGGCAATGTCGCGACAGCTTAATTTATGCGACGCGTGGAAAATCTGTTGCATTATAACAGGGTACCATTTAAGGAAAGGACAATAAGTTCAATTTTGTGCCTTTCACATTTTTTTGTGAAACCGCGTATTGCCATGGCGGTGTTCCAAAATTTTCGCTCAGTGCATTACTTTTCGAAGAGGAACACGCGTACTTTAAGGTTTGAAGTTCGCGCAGAATATTCTGCTGACAGAGAGGAAAATCGAGGTTGTTTATTTTTTATTTAAAAAAAAAAAATCTCGTTGACTTTCCGGAGAAAAATAAAGAGGGTATGACAGGAAGTCTGCGACGTCGCGAACGGAGATACGTGGATTCTCACGTCGGCCATCGATAACGTATCAATACGACGTATCCTCACGTAACGCGTGCCAAAAAATCATAACAAGTGACATAATGTGGGGACCCAAGATTTGTCGACCTGTCGTTCTGTGAATGTAAATGAACCCTTCTGCACTGAAAATAATTCTCGGCGTTTTTACCAAGGTCCGTTGGTACCTTTATCATCTCACTTTTTTTTACCAATTATTGGTAATTTTATCAAGACAAACAGGTAAGCTTACCTAAAAAAAGGTATTTTTACTGTTTTTTTTTCAGGTAAGAATACCACTTTTATTGGTAATCAATTCCCGGTAACTTTGCCATTTTATCTCGGTAATTCTACCACAGTCGATAAAAAATATTGGCGTTTTTACCAAGGTCCAGTAAAATTACCTATCCCATAAATGGTAATTTTACGAAGAAAAAATTGGGATCCAATAGAACCCTGAATTCTTGGTAATTTTACCCTTTTCTTAGTAAATACACCGAGATTTTTTTTTTCAGTGTGACATGCGACCTTGTGAGGGATTCAAACCCCCTCCCAAAGCGGATGTATTTGCGGATGTATCAGGATTTATGATTGTTTCGATGTCTGATTTTTTAATAAAATCAGAGCGGATACACGCAGTGGGCGAGCAGGTGGAATTTTCAATTGCGGGGGCGGGGGACTTGAACGAGCGGGGTCACCCGTGCGGGAATCTGAGGGTCACCGCGGCGGAGTCACCGTCCGGAATTTCCCAAAATTTTAGCATTCTTGCTGGCAAACGATGTATGAAGAAAACTCATTACCATAACATTGTGCTTCAGCATACGTTCAGAGAATTAAACGAGACCGTTGCCACGAGTAAGGAGTGTGGAAATGTATGTGTTCAACAATGCGCATAACCAAGTAGAATAGTGATCGCGATAGATTGCGATTCGATCGGTCAGATTATCAGTGTTTTATCGACGGCAATTTAACGCGATCCATCCGTAGCACGGTGGATCGAGTTAACGAGAGAAGTCGGACAAAATTTGGAAACTTCAAAGGCTTATAACTCCGTTCTTACAGTACTTTGAGGTCTTAAAGGTGGTTCCATTGGTTTCCTCGTAAAATTTACTTTTAGAAACACCCCTAACAATTTAAAATGTGCCGAAATAAACATCTACATTTTGAGTTTTAGTTAGAAATTTCATGTCCGACCTCTCTCATTAAATCGATCCACTGTGCGTCGACAAATGCTACTCGGGAGGTGCGATGAAAATCCGTCAGTTATTCTGCCGTGCTAAGGAAAAACGCCGTATGAGCCTTCGGGCGTTGTCAAATCGTCTCCAATCAAATACAAATTTTCGAAGAAAGTGTCGGATATTTTTCTTCCAATTTTTCAGAGAATTTCATTCTCAATATGATTTGAAGTATATGAAAAATTCAAGGTAAAATATTCATAACTTTCCTTAAAAACTACCGTTTTATTAGAGAAAATTCGGCAACCCCCGAAGGCTCATCATACGCCGTTTATCCTCAGCGAGACAGAATTGTTGGCGAATATACCGTATCCAAAAACATCGGGGACGAAGCTAACCACAGATTTTTGAAAAGCAGTTCCTTCTCCGCTAAAAATGAAGAGTAGGAACAGCTAAATAAAAGATTGTCTCCTAATTTGGATCTTTGTCGATATCAGGTGAGATTCAATCAACTAAGAAAGTGAAGTTTAGTGATATCATTGACTATTCTCCACTCATTTTTATGGATAGAAATCGAGTTCTACCTAAGACAGAGGTTGAATCTACGATATCGGTGTTATCATATTGCTGAAGATATTCGCAGTGTGGCCAAAAAATGTTTCATGGGGAGCGACAGCGGGGATCCGAAGGTGGAAATTCCTGAATGCCAAAAAATGACGTTTTTCTGGGCAAAATTTCCGGTCATGGCGGGGAGAGGGATGAGCGTCTACTGTCTAGATTCCTTGGACTCCCCCCCCTTTCATGCCCGCGCCTTTTAATGTCTTAATATTCTGCAACGTCGCGTCGCAGACTTCTCGTCGACTTTATTTTTCGAAGAAAAAAATTAATGCAATTTTCTCTAAATTTCCATCCGGCTTTTTTTTTTTTTTTT